TTATTCTGAAAATTGAGGACCACTGTACTTCAAATTATCTCTGTTCTCTCATTTGTTAGAGAACCATTCTCAGATGTAGTAATTTGCCAGTGGAACTGAAATAGTTGAAAAACCAGGCCAATGAATGTCTATGTGGGTGGGCATTTGCTATGAATTGCCAACAGTGATTGGTTCACAAGACAAAGTGCCTAGGGAGTTAGATTGAATAAATGGCTGAGCTTCCAACCTATACGAAGAGATGAGTAAGAGTCCCTGAGCCTTCTCAGCTCCTGTTCCTTGACATAGAGGTGGCTGTGAGAGTCATAGAGTTCGATTCTACAGCATCTGGAGTTCAATCCTTGGAAAGGAGCCAACAGCTCTTAAACCACTACCTAGTAGACAAATGAGCTAAAGAGATCCTTTGGACATTTTCAGTTTTCAAACCTAGCATGTGAATATAGCATGTGGGTATTTTTTATAAGGGGCCAAAGATCGGAGAGGTGAGACAACATTAAGATACGGACAAGAGAACTAGCATGGACTTTTCTTTTGCTTTTTTTCCAGAGAGTATTGGAAGGACATGTGTTTGATGTGAATTGTTGCAGGTTTTTCCCATCAGGCCTTGTGGTTCTCAGTGGGGGAATGGATGCCCAGCTGAAGATCTGGTCAGCTGAAGATGCCAGCTGTGTGGTGACCTTCAAAGGTCACAAAGGAGGTATGTGGGATAATTTCTCCAAAAGGCTTCTTTAATGATCCCTAGAGACACGTCACCAGAAAGACAGAAAGAGAAGCTAGTTATTCATAAATGCACAAGTAATTTATTCAACTGGCTATTTAAATGAGCTGTCATTTCCCCAAGAACTAGATGTTCCTTTGCCAATAAATTTTATTATTGCTATCTAGAACTAACAGTCTTTTTTTTTTTTTTTTAAGAGGTTTTTGCTATAGGTTTTTGTTACAGAGAGACAGAAAACGAGAAATCACCCCCCAGGGGGGGAATGTCCACACTGCGTCCCTTCTCCTTCATTCTCCTCTCTGGATCTTGGGCACGCACACGTGCCCAACGTGAATTTAAGCCACCAGGTCCAGGATTCGAAATATAGTCAACCACATGGGAATCCAGTGACATAGCCATTACACCAACTGCTGGTCCCTAGAACTAACAGTCTTAACAAAGATAGTTGTTGCCACAATTGATATGGAAAAAAAATCCTAAGAGATTTTTTTCTCAGGGAAAAAGAAAAGGAAGAGAGAGGTATATCCACATTTTCTCATTATTAGTTCTTTGGCTGAGGTGATAGTAAAAGCTGGTGACAAATGGCTGTGTCAGCAGGCATCAAACAGAGAGCCTGCTACTGTTGTTTCCCATAAATTTAAATTACAGTTTATATTTTTAAAGTGGATTAGCCATATAATTAGTTAATAATAGCTTTTAGAAACAGAATGAGGATATTTTCCCTTTGTAACTGATTAGTTGGTTTATTTTAAAAAGTACAATTTAGAGATGTTTTATCCTTAATTGTAATCCTTTAAAAATTATAAATATCTTATTCTTATTTATTTGCTTTTTTAAAGAATTATTTATTGAATTTTGTGGGGCTAGCAAGTGGCACAGTGATTAAGGATGCTAGACTCCCACGTGGTCGACCACAGTCCATGTCCCGGACCTGGTGGCTTGCTTTCTCACTTTCCCTCTCCCTTTTTCTCTCTCTCACTCTGTCTCTCTCTGGTCAAATGTAAATAAATAAAGTTAAATAAAATAATTCTTAAAAAAAAAAGAATTATTTATTTAATTGTATTATTATTTATTTATTTATTTTTACATTTAACCAGAGAGAGAGAGACAGAGAGAAAGATCGAGAGAGAGAGAAAGGGAAAGTGAGAAAGCAAACCACCAGGTCCAGGACTCAAACTGCAGTTGGCCATGTGAGAGTTCAGTGCTTTAACCACCACGCCAACTGTCAGCCCCTCTTATTACTCTGTAAGTTTGGATATATTTTCTTAAAGAGTCATTTTATTTAACTTTATTTATTATTGTTATTATTTTCCAGTTTGGTCAGAGAGAGGCAGAGAGAGAGAGAGAAGGAAAGTGAGAAAGCAAGCCACCAGGTCCGGGACTTGGACTGTGGTTGACCGTGTGGGAGTTCAGTGCCTTTAACCATCAAGCCACCTGCCAACCCTCAAGTTTGGACATTTAAAAAAATGTAATAGGGAAGGCCGGCAAGTGTTGTAGTGGTTGAGGTGTTGGACTTTCCACATGGCAGACCATGGTGTCCCAGACCTGGTGACTTGTTTTCTCACTCTCCCTTTCTCTCCCTCCCTCTTTCTGTCTTTCTCTGGCAAACTCATGTGGGGAAAAAACATGATAAATAAATGAAATAATAATAATAATAATTCTTTTTTTTTTCTTTTTTGGTGAGGTTTTTGCTATAGGGCGTGTGCGCTCACCAGAAAGACAGAGAGAGACAGAAAGCGAGAAATCACCCCCAGGAGGGATGGCCACGTTGGAATCCCTTCTCCTCTAGTCTCCTCTTAGGATCTTGGGCACACACGCACATGTGCCCAGTATGAGTTTAAGCCATCAGGTCCGGGATTCAAACCACGGTCGACTACATGGGAGTCCAGCAACATAACCATTATGCCATATGCTGGTCCCAAAATAAATAATTATTTTTTTAGAGGTTTTTGCTATAGGGCACGTGTGCTTGCCAGACAGACAGAGACAGACAGAGAGACAGAAAGCGAGAAATCACCCCCCAGGGGGGATGACCACACTGCAATCCCTTCTCCTCCATTCTCCTCTCGGTATCTTGGGCACGCACACACACATGCCCGGCGTGAGTTTTAAGCCACCGGGTCTGGGATGCAAACCGCGGTCGACTATGTGGGAGTCCAGCAACATAGCCATTACACTAACTGCTGGTCCCCCCAAATAAATAATTCTTTAAAAATAATGTAATAGCATTCCCAAACAATTGCCCTGATTTTTACTTTGGAACCTGTACAGTGTACCATTAATTTGAGAATGAATTACGCATTGCCCTCCACTTACAGTATTTATTCCTGTGTTTTTGCCTTGTGAACCCTTCCACATTGTGAGTAATTTGTATGCAGAGCTTGATTTTTAAATTTTAATATTTCTTTATAATGATTTGTTGATTACAAGTAAATGATCTGGCAAACACATATCTTAGCTGTAGCAAATAGATGGTTCCCTTCTACGACTGCACATAAATAAGTACATTGAGAAGGAATAGGAGCAATTGTGAGAGCCTTCCTCCCCCATCACTTTCTGAAGAACTGACGAGTCTAAGGAGTCAGTGTAACCTACACCGTTAGGGCATCCAGGAGCCAAAGAAGTCTAGAGAGTCACTGAAGGTTTCACCTCAGATCTGGCCATCCCTGTGATGTGTTGGGTGCAGGGAATCTTTGCAGTGGAACTGGCATGCCTCTTTGTTGAACGGAACAAGCTGCGTATCTGAAGTCAGTGCATGCTTAGTTTATGTGTACCTTTGGATCACTGTGGCTGTTGAGTGTGCTTGCCACTTGATTCCTCACTAAGCCTCCCAACATTCTTCAGTTCTCCCTGAGAATACATACATGACCTTTGGCTTAAAGTGACTAACAAAATATTTAATCTAATCTAAGCTTTTGTTCATATAGTGGTTCCATTCTTTTAGCCTTGTGATAAAGTCCTGAGTTGGGACTAGGGGCTCTGAAGTGTAACAACCCTGTTTTTTTTTTTTTGTTTTTTTTTTTTAAGATTTGTTTATTTATTTAATTTTATTTGTTGTTATTAGTTTTTTTAATCTGATCAGAGAGAGACAGAGGGAGAAAGGGAAAGGGAGGGAGAAAGCAAGCCGCCAGGTTCTGTGGTTGAACTATGATCTGCCATGTGGGAATCCAGCGCCTTCAGCCATTACACCACCTGCTGGCCCCACAACTCTGACTTTTTTCTCTTGAGAGAAGGGTTTTATGAGTTTGAACAGAAATTTACTTGGACCAGGCCTTGACCTGGTGGCTACAGCATCTGAAGAAATGGAAGAGAAGGGATTGCTGCATAGCTATCACCCATGGTGGGGGGAAGGGGGCGCAGGGGAGAGGGGAAGAACAATGATACACTCTAGGAGGAATGACATAGTCAGATCCAGGCTGACAGTTTTGAATTTCCCTTTTGCAGTTAGTTCTATAAAGTAGCCTCAGGTTTGAGGTTGCCGGTTCTTTGTAACACAGAGCAAAAGTCAAAGTTAATCTCTGATAGTTGAGCAGCATTAGAGTCCTTGTTGCTTTGTGTGAGACCTTTTTAATAATCTCTCTTTTTTTAATTACTAGACAGTGAGCATACTCTTGGTGAGTGTGTGAAAGTGCCCTCCGTTGGAGTGTGAGCACACTGCAGTCCTTTTTTCCCCATTGGTTCCCCTAATACTGCATATGTACATACACACATATGCACACATATCTTTAGTATATATAGTTAAAGGATTAGCGTGTTCAAGTAAGGGTAAGGTTTCTGTGTGTTCTGAATCTTTCAAATGGGAAGACAAACACAAAGTACAATAGTTTTATGTTTGTATGAGTTGAATACATAGTTCCGAAATGCACTTTAGGGCCAGGCTATGCCCTAGTGGCTAAGGCAGCCAAATCCCAAATGTGTGGTTTGAGTCCCGGACCCTGTGTCTTAAGAAACACATAGTGCATTTGTGTGTGCATGCTCCAAACCTAAAAGGATAGAAAAATGGAAGAGAAGGCATTTCAGCAGCATGACCACACCTCATGGCAGGTGTTGGGGGCACCTTTTCTCTCTCCTCTCTGTCTCTCTCCACCAAGTGTACATGCCCTCTGGCAAAATTTTAAAAATAATAAGAAAATGCACTTTAATTAATTTTAATTAAATTACCCAAGCTGTTGAACTGACGTTGATGAATTTAGGAGTATACATTTGTAATCCTCATCCTTCGTAATAAGCACTTCATCTTTTGTAATCTGTAAAACATTGAGAGACCAAATTCAGCACCATTCAGCTGACTAGTTGGTTGAGATTTTTTGCTTACCAAGGTGTTGAAATGCTTACATTTGTAGAATCATTTTAAAAAACCAGGTTGCATTTTTGCTACTGGAGCCATTATTTGCATACTCTTCAGTACTCACTAGGAAGTATGGTATGCTGCCTCCAAGTCATAGTCGCTGTCTTGAAGCTCATTTTCTTCAAAGATCTGAGTCACAGCCAGTAATTTTCCTGTGTATGCGTGTATGTACATTACTCCCTAGCAACACTGAAACAGCTTACTGTGAGAGTAAAATCAGATCATTTAATAGATTCAGCTTGTTAAATATAGTCACCCAGAAACAGGAAATTTGCTTTATTTTTTAAATAAATATTCATTTCAGCCTTACTGTCCTCTAACGTTATTCCTATTTCCCAGACTTCAGCTAGCATGTTTATATGTGAGTCAGCTGAATCTTTTTTCTGAAAGTAGATGCATTTTTGTCTTGGTTTATATGCTGAAGACCTGTATTTATTTGGCTTGATAATAAAAGTTTTTTTGCAGCTTCTAACAGGTCTTAACTATGGCTGCTTTTCTTACAAAGGCATTCAGGAAATTGCTGCTTTCCTAGCTTCTTTCCAAAGCAATTCCTTTTTTTTTTTTTTTAGAATTTTTTTTTTCCTTTATTCATTTATTTCATTTCATTCATTTATTTCATTTTTTTATTTTGACCAGAGAGGGACAGAGCAAGAGAGAAGGAGAGAGTGGGAATGTGAGAGAGCAAGCCTCCAGGTCCAGGACTTGAACTGTGGGAGGCCAGCATCCTTAACCACTACGCCACCTGCCGGCCCCCCAAATCACTTCCTTATAGATTCCTGCCCTTGTATGACTTTTTTTTTTTTTCCATCCTTATCATCTGAGTATGGTGAGTACCATACTAGATGTCATTACATTGTGAGTGACATTTTATTAGAGAGAGTGTGATAATTTTCCACTCTACTTTTATAGAAAAAGACAACTTTCTAGATGGCAGCTCTTTGCTGAGTATTACTTGAAATTTGTACACAGTTAATACTGTTCACAGCTCCCTGCAGCACTATATCATCCCTACCTTGGATACATATATTTCAGAACTATTTTTTTTTTAAAAGCTAGTATCATTTTCTAAACTCAGTAACATATTTTTTAATATATAGATTTTTGCTATATGATGTATGTGCTCTCCAGCGAGACTGAGCTCCCTGGCAGCAGTATATCATCCCGACCTTGGGTACATATATTTCAGAACTGTTTTTTTTTAAAAGCTAGTATCATTTTCTAAACTCAGTAACATATTTTTTAATATATAGATTTTTGCTATATGATGTATGTGCTCTCCAGCGAGACTGAAATTGAGAAATCACCCCCCAGGAGGATGGCTATGCCATGGTCTCTTCTCCTCATTCTCTTCTTGAGCTTTTGGGCACACATGCAAATGTGCCTGGCGTGAGTTTGAAGCTGCTGGGTTCAGGACTTGAACTGCAATCAACCATGTGGGAGTTAAGCAGCTTAACCACTATGCCACCTGCTGGCCCTCTCAGTAACATTTTTAAAAAGCAGTGGGGCCAGCAGGTGGTGTGGTGGGGAAGGCGTTGAACTCTCATGTGTCCAACCATGTGATTCGAGTCCCAGACCTAGCTGCTTGCTTTCTCCCTTTCCTTCCCCCACTCTGTCTGTGTTGCTCTCTGGTAAGCATGTGTGACCTATAGCAAATTAAAATAATAATAATAATTAAGATATAAATAATTCCTAAAAAATACAGTATGCTTAAAATGTAAACAGATCTTTTATTGCTTAATAAAAGCTGAAGGCCCTTCTTCCTCATGGTAATTTTTTAGGATTTTTTTTTCTTTTTTTTTTGAGAGGTTTTTGCTGTAGGGCCCGAGCGCTTGCCAGAAATACAGAGAGAGACAGGGAGACAGAAGGTGAGAAATCACCCCCTGGGGGGATGGCCACACTGCAATCCCTTCTCCTCCATTCTCCTCTCAGGATCTTGGGCATGCATGCACACGTGCCCGACGTGAGTTTAAGCCACCGAGTTCAGGACTCAAACCGCAGTCGACTACATGGGAGTCCAACGACATAGCCATTACACTAACTGCTGGTCACAATTTTT